CAATACATATGCATTAATATCTATTCAGAAATTACTAGAAACAAAACAAAAACTGGCGTAAGTTATACGCAAATTTTCTCAAACAACGACCAGTGTATTGCTTTTGAACTAAGGAATATTAACATATCTTTACATACAGAAAATCGTGTACATTTTCTGCGCTTGCCGAGTTTTTTATTTTAAGCTATATTTTAATCTAAAGCTTGGTTAATAAATAAGAAATAAATAGAATCAAAAGAAGGATAGAATCGAGGTCCATTATTGTTAAATATATTTATGTATGCATGTACATATGTACATATGTAAAACTGTAGTTTCGATTTAAAAAAAAAAAAAAAAAATCGGATAAAGTTTTTCTTTCGCCATTCATACACCTCTAATTTTAGTATTTATTAAAAAAAAAAAAAAACTCAATGAAATTCAAAAACTCTATCTTGCATTTAGTTTTACTCAATACCAATTTGAGCTGTCGCTGTGTATTAGGTTTATATTATCTATCATTGCAAAGAATCTAGTTAAATTTATGTCTAATTCGCACTTATTGTTGAAGTGTCAAGACCTAATCACACACTTAAGTTGCAGTTGCATAATGCTCTATTCATAAATATGTTTGTAAATGCACCCATACATTCATACATACATACATATGTATATAAAACAATATATTTAATATGTAATTGAAATTTTCACATCAATTTGCGCTATCTTCAAACCCATGGTTTCAATTGTACGCATATCGTCAGGGTTTTCCCCACAACTTGGTTTTGCTGCAGTGAAGCGACAGAACAAGTGACGAGAAAAGATATATGCGGACACTTATATGTATATGTATCTATGCGCATACGTATCTATGCGCATGGTATGTATCTATGCACATGCGTAGCTATGTATGCACATACGTATCTATGCACATACATGCATGTGTGCTTAGGTATGTATATTAGCATTTTAGTTGAAAGTACGTTTTGCTCGTCGCTCTCTTCAGCGCTCCACTGCAATCCTGTCCTTAATTTTATTCAGATACCTCAAACGCACTCACCCCATCACTTATTCGTTGCCGCCTTCTTCGTTGTTGTTGCTGTTGAAGTATTTCCTGCTGTTGTTCTTGTACCTACAGCTGCAGCAGCAGTTATTGATGTGTTCGCAAGCAAACTATAAGCTCCGCCAACTGCAGACTGTGTAACTTGTCCCGACGAAGGGGATGTGCCAGAGTTGGTCGTACTGGTAAAATGCGCAGGTGTAAATGGTGGTGGCACTGTATTCGGTGGAATACTTAGTTGAAATCCACTGTGGTATATAAGATAGTAGGTGGCTTGGGTGGGAGTGCTAGATGGTGAAGTCACAACGGTTGAACCAGTGTCTGCTGCGGTTGCTGAAAAATTAGTGTTGGACGTTGATGCTACGATCACCTTGGAATCGTTCTGCAAATTGCTTCCAGCAACAGACCCGCTTTTATTTGTTGAATTCGTCTGCCACATACCGCCCGAAGTGCACAACAAAAATTTTAATAATTAATTTGCAAGGAATTCGTACAATAAAGCGGTGGAAAGATTGCGGGAGGCACCGATCTGGTGTTTTACGCTGGCAGCAATAGCAAAGCACTTCCATATCTACTAGCTAAGCAGACACTGCATAAGGGATGATCAATCGCCAAAGCCTGCGCGAAATGTAAATTCATGTTGAAACCACGGAAACCGCAGAATCTGTGAATAAAACAAACAGAAGATAATATTGTAGGATGAAAAAAAAAAATTAAAATTTTAATTACATACATACATACAGAACCACTTACACTTCGGGCATCTTCTCTTTATCCGTTTACAGGGCATTAATCCGTGCTGTGTGCTCAAGGCAAAGGGTTGCAAATCGATGCAGGCAAGCGTCTGAAACTTAAACTAAGTATATTAAATCAAACTCTATACTACAAATTACTATTATAACAAATTCCACTATACGAACCGTTTCTCCTCGTGATAGGTTATTTCTTGAATGACATTTCAGCCATTCAGGATATTGCCATTCATGAATTAGCAATGGCGCCATCTGTTGTATTCGAGACCAAATGCTTACGTTAAGCTTGCGTCATTGGGGATTTTTACTCAATCCGTCGAACTACGACAAGATGAAGCAAAAGGAAAAAAGTAATTTTCTGGCTGACGTTGGTAATTTCGACGCCATGTTATTTTCTTTTAAAAGTAAACAAAGAATATGAAGACGAGGCATAATTTTCTCAATTGCTATCACAAAGTATGGCTTTTATGCAAATTATAAATACTGCTCTACTCGACGGTCATCAACGCACAAATGGTTGCTTCTCGACCGGTCTGTTCTAATTGGTTCATGCCTCGCAATCTCTAGAAAAATTGTACTTTCATAAATTATCTTACCATTGTGTTAGATGATTTTTGATTGGAATACCAGTTTAAAAAATGATTGCGATGCGCAAAAATACGGTAAACGACATCAGGAATATTATGATACTCCGTATCACGTTTATCGATTATTACCACCGTTCTTGTTTGATACCGCGAAAACACGTTGTAAAAATGAAAAAAACTATTACTCATGTCCTGCTTTATATAAGGTGTTCGATGCGAATCAGAACAATCATTTTGTGTGAACCTTTGACGTAGCAACCACCTCAACGTTAGCGAGCGAATTTTTTTGGGGTGGCAGGACCGTCTTACGATATTAACGTATCACGAATGGGAGCAAACAAGCAAAATCGATAACACCTGTCCACAATGTATCGCTTCAATATTTGAGGTGCCCATACACTTTTTATACGCTTGTACGATATTATATGCAGTTCACACTATCAATTTACAGTGTGGAATCAACATTTATTTTCAAAGTATAAACTATATTTTATTTTCGGTTTTAAACTCATTTCATGCTCGCCACCCAACTGTAACCTACACACATAAGGGCACATTATTTAGTACATAAGTACACAGTACTAGTATCGGATAACAGCAAGGGGAAAAAACATTAACCAATTTCAGACAATGACTAAATTCACTTCAATGAGGAAAAGGGCGGAGCAGCAATCACAGCGTTATCCACTCGCATGCCGTCTATGTGATGGAAATCACCCGATCAGGCTCTGTCCAATATACCGAGTAAAATATCCCGAAGAAAGATTGCGGGAGGCATTGTTGGGAGGTTTTTGCGGCAACTGCTTGTCTATGACACACCGCGTCGATACGTGCACGAGCGAAGAGAGATGCCGTCGGTGCCATGACAAGCATCATACAACTCTGCACCTGGGTGAGGAGCACCAAGCAGTCGACACAAGACCATGGAGCGTGCAAGTCGCAAGTGAGGATGAATCAGAGCACATTCTATCGGTCAATGCTTCAGACTCAGGAACAGAGACCAGGGCTCTCCCACCGGACGCCGAGGAAGGCGAAGTCATTGAAACTGCAGTAGCAACCCGCACTCTTCGCTCGACTTCACGAAGGGGATCGGAAACTAGGCCCTCCCGACCGCTCTTAGAACATGAACGGCGCCGTGGATCGGAAACTCGGCCTTTCCGACCACGCCAGCCTTCACGCCGTCGCCGTGGAGCGGAAACTAGGCCTTTCCGCCCGCGGGCCAACAATTGGATTCGGCAAATCGACGCCGCCATCAAGGTAGACTGGAGACGAGGCCTCGCCAGCTGCCTGTTGCATTCAGAGCGGGTCAGGTCCAGCCTTCAACTCACGTATTAAGGCCCGTTACATCAATATGTCCTACTGCCGTGGTCAAGGTCGAATCGCAAGGACGGCTCCATTTGATACGCGCCTTGATTGATGTGTGCTCACCGACCTCGATAATCTCAGCCGATTTAGTACGCGAACTGCGCCTTGATTTTGGTCCGCAACAGGGTTGCCTACTGCGTTTGCGCGGCAAACATGGCCAAAATAAAAGGGTAGCAGTCCATGCAAGAGTGGTGCGAAATTATATTCGGATCAGCCCCACCAGTAGCATCGATCCCTCGATAGCGGCACCGTACACGCACATTCGACTAGCGGACCCGAACTTCCACACCTCAACGCCGATTCGCTTGGTCTTGGGAGCCGATGTGTATCCCGAGATTATCCTGCCAGGGATACTCCCAAGCGCTTTTGGGCCATTCCTGGCCCAAAGCAGCATATTTGGGTGGATCCTATCGGGATCGTGTCGATCCTAAATATCGAATAAATCTTTTTTTTCGTTTTTGGTTTTTTATTTAGATAATTATATATATACACTTCCTTGAAATGAATATGAATTGTTTAATAAATGAAGTGCAATGAAATGTCAAACCATGCCTTGTTCTCTTAACCTTATTTTTCGTATCATTTCTACAGCTGTAGGAGGCGAAGATGGAAGCACGGGTGACAACGAGGAAGTCCGACTGATCGGATGACAACCAGCTGACATTTTTACTACTTACATTCGAATTTGTAATTAGCTACTCAACGCGGTGTGATGGCTGAGTCGTAATAGATGTTGCTTATAGCAAGGGGGCCGGTATGTTTAGGCCTCCACCCTAAACTCAAAATAATGCAATGGGTGTAC